GCATTTCAGGCTCATCTTTTTGCTAACAACAATGCATTATGTCTTTTTGCAGTTGATGTTTAATCCTTTCTGAACAATTTCCCTGACTAACTTCCGTAAGAGCTTTGTAGTTTTCTTTCTGTGTCTGCTATTAACACTGTATCATCTGCATATCTTATGATGTTAAGACTGTGGCCGCTAGGAATGAATCCTGATAGGACTTCTAGTTCATTCAGAGTTGCTTCGCTGTCTAGGTTAGATAAGTCCGGTGAGAAGACACATCGTTGTTTTACACCGCTTTCTATTTTTGTATATCTGCTGAACTCATTTTCTTTCCGTTTGCTAACGAAATTTTCTGTTTTTTTAATACTTTGCTTAGCTTTCGGAAGGCATCATACGATATCCCACTGTGTCTTCAGTGTTGCACTTTCCAGGTATCTTACATTGTGACAATACAAGATCTGCCAAGAAAGGCGAGGTGTTGTAAGAACCTGGGCGGAAATTTACTGTGGTTGTTCTAGCGAGTAAAGCAATTTTTATACACTTTTGTCTTATTAAATTGTTTCCTGCTTTAATTAAAGTAGCATTTTGCAAATAAGGATTATGATTATTAATTTTCCTGTCATTGTTCTGGTATATAAAAAAATATATATATATATATCATTATCTCGTATGCTAAGATATTTTCACGACTGGCATTTATTGCTTTATATTCAACTGTACCTATAATGAAGTGGACGTTCTCGCTTAATGATAACACGTGATCACATAGAAATAACACGAGACTTGAATCTTTCATATTTAATATATTAATGTGGAGCCGTCAGTCGAACATCGTACTTACATTCACCGTCTGCAATGTATGTGAGATTGCACAACTACCTGCATTTATATAAACGCGTGTATTGCAAATTCGGACTGAGGCCTAAGGTCACTTGTTTCTTTATTTGGCGGCTGAGTATAACCCCAGCTCAATCTTGTACCTGACTTTCTTGGTGTGCAGTCGAGAGCAAAGACTATACCGGCAGAATACTACAAACAGATAGCTTGTTTTTAATATGGCGTTTTCGGCTATATCTAAGTTGCATTTGCAATGTATCTAAACGTATTGATAATTTGTTTTAAATATTACAGGCTTAAATATCGCTTATTACTCTCAATGTTATTTTAGCGAATACCTCTGTTTGAACAGATGACATTTTTTTGTCACAATATGAATTACATCTACCGGCCGGCGCATCGGGATGACTTAATAAAGAGAGTGTGTTCTCTGGCAGTGTTAGTACCTACTTCTTCAGTTTATAGAGAAAACCACCATCTGACCCGACGTGCTTTAGAGGGCATACTCTTTTTAATGAATGCACACCTTTCGTTTAGAATTTGCTTCGTAGCCAAAAGATAATCAATTGTAATTTCTAGGGAATTAATAGAAAACATTGTTTATTATTATTTTAAACGCTAGATGTAATTCCCACTGTTAAAAAAAAAAACCCCAAAACAAAAAGTAAAACAAAAAAAAAAAAAAAAAAAAAAACAGGATGTCTACTGAAACATTGGCATCCACAAAAATAACGTTTTGTGTAATAAGAAATAATGTCGGATTAAAAATAAAATCCTTAAATTCCTTTGAAATTTCTTTGATTCTTCCACTTATATATTCCGCGTCAGTTCAGGATATAGACAATCATGGCTCTTCAAATCATCCTATCCCTTGTGGATCATAGCATTGTTTTTTACCTCGACTAAGGGTCCTGCCCTCCGTTCTGCCATCCCTTCACACAAGGTTATCAGGTCGGTGGTTCTATTGTCCTCAATATGCCCTGTGAGGATTAAGTTTTCCAATCCCTTCTTCCTCATTATGTACACTTGAAATTGCTCTCTCTTTTCTGATTCTGAGAAATTGTGTTCTTTTTATTACCATTTTCATTCGTATATATATATATATATATATATATATATATATAGTGAGTGAGAATTTCCAAGCGTAGCTTAGATGTGGTACAAGGCCAAAGTATATGGCACCCAGTGAGGATCAAACTCACTACACAGTTGTAATTGTTCTAGCAAGGCATGCTTGCTAATCATTACACCGTTTCAGGTGCTATCACACACACACACACGCACATTTATATTATATATATATATATATATATATATATATATATATGTATATATATATATATATATATATGTGCGTGTGTGTGTGTGTATTGGGGATTTTGAATAATCCTTTATAGAAGAATTCTCAACAGATTGCAGAGGGCACTGAATGTTTCGGCCTATTACGGACTCATCAGCAGTGCGCATCCACTACGGAGAATCGAACCCGGACCGTTACGATACAACGCAAGTGTCATTCCGTGGTGATACTCACCCAAATGTACGTAACCCAACGGATTGTTCCCCAAGAGCCACGTCTTCTTCCCCGAGGCCGCTCACTCCAGAGCATTAGATGCTGGATCAAGCAAGGAAATACAAGTGGCAAAAATTTTGGGAGGATTTGAATAATCATTTGTACTAATTATATTATAGTATAGAGTATAACCATGTAATTTAGTGAGTATAGTCAGTTTCTTCTTCGTCACCGAGGCCCGTTGGTCCAGTGGTCTGACGCTTGCGTCTCATTCTATCGTTCCGGGTTCGACTCGGTAGTAGATGCATACTGCTGATGAGTCCCAAATAAAACGGAACGGCCGTTCAGTGCTTACTGCATTCTGTTGAGGATTCTTCAAGACTCGATATATATATATATATATATATATAGATATAGATAAAAAATAGGCAGAATTTATATGGCATTTTAAAAAGATAAAAAAGAACAACCAGTTTAGACTTATCACGTTTATTTTCTGGGATATAAAAAATATGTAACCGTGTAAATTAAATTAATATAACGAATGAAAAGAATATATATATATATATATATATATATATATATATATATATATATATATATATATTCGTTATATATAATTTTATTTACATTTATATATTTTTTTATATCCAAGGAAATAAACTTTGATAAGCCTGGGACAAACCGGTTTTTCTTTTTTAGTTTTTTAAAATGCCATATAAATTCTGCCTATTCCTACCTATCGTTAAATTTTATACTATATATATATATATGTGTGTGTGTGTATAAATTGCACCTTTCGGTAGGGATTGAACCTGCGTCTCTCATGGCAGATGGAGCCACAGTTTACTACGTGTAAATAAAAATACTTTTTAATAAATAAACGGAGCGTCTATTCGAGTATCCACTGAAAATAACGGTTAAAGTGATACAAATCTGTCGGATTAAAGAAAAAGCCATCTAAAAAAAACAAAAAAAAAATCATATCAGGCACTTTTTCTCCTGAATATGATATCTTTTATGCCGTCAAATACATTTTATAAGTATAGAATCTGAATCAAGTTGTTTTTCTTTTTATTATCAAGAATGGTTACAAAGTTTTTGCCGATATTGAACGTAACTTTCTGGACATTGTATATATTACCAGACATGTTAGAGACTGAAATTAAAGAAATACAGGAAAATGATGAAGAAATAATGTTTCGGATAGGTTCTCATTTCCGACTCGAATTTATAAGCAGGAGGTCTCGTGTGCGTTTTTTTTTTTTTTTTTTGATCAAGCACCGTATTTTATAGCGAGTCTCGTTCCGGAGTTTGTTTACTCAGTATTTGCTCAATGAAGTGTCTACTCAATTTACACTGGAGCAGGCGGCAAGAGAGTTAATAATCACCGCTTTTATTGACCAAATTGCACAGAACATGTGCCAAATACTTCGAACCACAAATAACACGTTAAAAAAAAATAAAAAAGCACATGCAAAAAATGAAAAAAATAAAGAAAATAAAAAAAATAATAATAGAAAAACAGAATTTAATTTCGTTTCCTTGATTGTGATAACGTTTATTCTCTTTGCACCTTTCTGTCTCTAGTGTCTATGTTTTTTAAGGATTCCTATTTTCCTCTGCCTCTCTATTTTCCTAACTACCCACCTTATTCTCTTGCATTTTTTCTTTTATTTTCTCTTTCTTTTTTTCTCATTTTTTTCTTGCTCTTTTTTCTTTCTCTCATTTTTCCTCTCTTTTTTCTCTCTCTCAACCTCGTCTCATTGTTATTGATATAAGATTAAAGAACAAGTTTAAATGGAAATTGGGGAGAGAATACAGCATGGGAAGATTGTATTGCTCCAGTACGTTTTTCTTTTTAGCTTCATTGGTTTTCTGTGTTTCCCTTCTTTTTGCTTTTATATAGCCACGTCTTTCGATATTTATAACATGCAATCGAATTTGTTGCGTCCATATTTGAAAAATAGGTTTTAGAATATCGCTGTATGCATGTTCAAGTGGACTATTTCGAAGGAGACAGTTGAAAATAGGTTTTAGAATATCGCTGTATGCATGTTCAAGTGGACTATTTCGAAGGAGACGGTTGAAAATAAGTTTTAGAATATCGTTGCATGCATGTTCAAGTGGATTATTTCGAAGGAGACGTTTGAAAATAGGTTTTAGAATATCGCTGTTTGCATGTTCAAGTGGACTATTTCAAAGGAGGCGGTTGAAAATAGCTTTTAGAATTTTATGGACAAATTTCCTAACCTTTTTTGTAATACTTCTACGTATCTACAGATGTTGATTGGTTGATTTTGTTTAGCGGTATAAAACTTCTATATTTGACACTTACACCAGAAGCTCCAATACAAATATCTCAGAGTGTTTAGGTGTAAATTTGTGGACAGTGAAACAATTCAGATTGAGTTGGGTGAATCTAATTTTTATTTAATGCTAAAATCTAAATATTTTGTACGCAATTAAATTTTATTTTTGGAGAAAATAACGGTTTCCGTGATACAAATCTTACTAATTAACCCATAGCTGGGGGAAAGAGGTAGATTCATACCTTATCCATGGTTATTTGCGCGTAAATGAATATAACGAACTCAACAAGTAATTCAAATTCTGCTCTCCGATTAACAATTGCGAGGCATTATCCATTACACCACCCGCAAATACAAGCACCTGACATTCCCAAGCTATCACCCATCCAAGTACTGATTATGCTCGACGTTGCTTAACTTCGGCGATCGTATGGTTAACCGTGGTTATAACGTAACGTGGTTGTAAATCTCCAGATTTGGTTAAAATAGTAGGGCAGACTAGGCTTAAAGAGCCTTAATAGGCACCTCTCGAAGAGAAGGACATATCTGACTTCAAATCCCTTGTCAGCGAATAATGATCCAGCTTGGTTGTTTAAGGTGTATTTCTTCCTGTCTCTCTGTGTAGGTGAGTATATTTGTCTCTCTATATATATATTTTTTTTGCTATGCGTCTCTGCGCGTACAAGAAAGCAATTACCTCATTTTTTTTTTTTACCTCGGTGTAGAGATGAATATGTTTCTTCTCATTTTGTTCTACTTTGTATATCTGGGAATTAATTTTTTTACTCTTTATTTTCATTTGTGTCTCTACGTGTAAATGAGTGCATTTTTTTTTTCGTTTTTTACTCTGTGCTTCGGCGTAAGTAAAATCATTTCCTTTCTCTTTTTTGCAACTCCGCGTCTCTCTGCCTAAGCGAAACTATTTTTCTTTCTTTTATTCTTATTCGTGTCTCTGTATGTAGAAGACACTTACCCAAGGTTTCTATTTTATGTTTCTGTGCGCGGGTGGATTTTATTTTCTTTCCCCTTATTTGTGTCTCTGATTAAATGAACGTCTTTTCTATCTTTCGTTTAAATTTTAGTGTCAGTGTGTAAAGAAAGGTAGATTTCTTTTTTTTTCTTCTTCTACTGAGCATGTCTGTGCATCGTTGAATGCATCTTTCACAATTTTCCTATTATGCCTGTACGTCGGCCACCTCGAGGTGGTGTAATGGTTAACAAGCTTGTCTTGCTAGAACAATTACAACTGAGTCGTGAGTTCGATCCTCACTGGGTGCCCCATACTGTCGGCCTTGTGCCACATCTAAGCTATCCCTAGAAAACTCTATTATGCCTCTATGTTTCAATAAATTTATATTTTGATTCTCTGTGTAAATGAAGATTTTTGATTTACTGTTTCTGCTTTCTATGCCCGTGTTTAGGTGAATGTATTTTTCTGTTATTCCTATTTTGTGTCTCAGTGTTTAAATGAATTCATTTTTGTTGTATTTTTTTCTACTTTGTGCCTCAGTGCGTAAGTAAAAGCATTCTTTTTTTACTTTGTGCCTCAGTGCGTAAGTAAAAGCATTCTTTTTCTACTTTGTGCCTCAGTGCGTAAGTAAAAGCATTCTTTTTCTACTTTGTGCTTCAGTGCGTAAGTAAAAGCATTCTTTTTCTACTTTGTGCCTCAGTGCGTAAGTAAAAGCATTCTTTTTTTACTTTGTGCCTCAGTGCGTAAGTAAAAGCATTCTTTTTTACTTTGTGCTTCAGTGCGTAAGTAAAAGCATTCTTTTTCTACATTGTGCCTCAGTGCGTAAGTAAAAAGCATTCTTTTCTACTTTGTGCCTCAGTGCGTAAGTAAAAGCATTCTTTTTTCTACTTTGTGATTCAGTGCGTAAAAAAGCATTCTTTTTTACTTTGTGCCTCCCAGTGCGTAAGTAAAAGCATTCTTTTTACTTTGTGCCTCAGTGCGTAAGTAAAAAGCATTCTTTTTCTACTTTGTGCCTCAGTGCGTAAGTAAAAGCATTCTTTTTCTACTTTGTGCTTCAGTGCGTAAGTAAAAGCATTCTTTTTTTTACTTTTGCCTCAGTGCGTAAGTAAAAAGCATTCTTTTTTACTTTGTGCCTCAGTGCGTAAGTAAAAAGCATTCTTTTTCTACTTTGTGCCTCAGTGCGTAAGTAAAGCAATCTTTTTCTACTTTGTGCTTCAGTGCGTAAGTAAAAGCATTCTTTTTTTTACTTTTGTGCCTCAGTGCGTAAGTAAAAGCATTCTTTTTTACTTTGTGCCTCAGTGCGTAAGTAAAAGCATTCTTTTTCTACTTTGTGCCTCAGTGCGTAAGTAAAAGCATTCTTTTTCTACTTTGTGCTTCAGTGCGTAAGTAAAAGCATTCTTTTTTTACTTTGTGCCTCAGTGCGTAAGTAAAAGCATTCTTTTTTTACTTTGTGCCTCAGTGCGTAAGTAAAAGCATTCTTTTTCTACTTTGTGCCTCAGTGCGTAAGTAAAAGCATTCTTTTTCTACTTTGTGCTTCAGTGCGTAAGTAAAAGCATTCTTTTTTTACTTTTGTGCCTCAGTGCGTAAGTAAAAAGCATTCTTTTTTACTTTGTGCCTCAGTGCGTAAGTAAAGCATTCTTTTCTACTTTGTGCCTCAGTGCGTATATAAAAAGCATTCTTTTTCTACTTTGTGCTTCAGTGCGTAAGTAAAAGCATTCTTTATTACTTTGTGCCTCAGTGCGTAAGTAAAAGCATTCTTTTTTTAGTTTGTGCCTCAGTGCGTAAGTAAAAGCATTCTTTTTCTACTTTGTGCCTCAGTGCGTAAGTAAAAGCATTCTTTTTTCTACTTTTGTGCTTCAGTGCGTAAGTAAAAGCATTCTTTTTTTTTTTACTTTGTGCCTCAGTGCGTAAGTAAAAGCATTCTTTTTACTTTGTGCCTCAGTGCGTAAAGTAAAAGCATTCTTTTTTCTACTTTATTGCCTCAGTGCGTAAGTAAAAGCATTCTTTTTTCTACTTTGTGCTTCAGTGCGTAAGTAAAAGCATTCTTTTTCTACTTTTGTGCTTCAGTGCGTAAGTAAAAGCATTCTTTTTTACTTTGTGCCTCAGTGCGTAAGTAAAAAGCATTCTTTTTTACTTTGTGCCTCAGTGCGTAAGTAAAAGCATTCTTTTTCTACTTTGTGCCTCAGTGCGTAAAGTAAAGCATTCTTTTTCTACTTTGTGCTTCAGTGCGTAAGTAAAAGCATTCTTTTTTACTTTGTGCCTCAGTGCGTAAAAAAAGCATTCTTTTTTTACTTTGTGCCTCAGTGCGTAAGTAAAAGCATTCTTTTTTTCTACTTTGTTGCCTCAGTGCGTAAGTAAAAGCATTCTTTTTTTCTACTTTGTGCCTCGGTGCGTAAGTAAAAGCATTCTTTTTCTTCTTTGTGCTTCAGTGCGTAAGTAAAAGCATTCTTTTTTTACTTTGTGCCTCAGTGCGTAAGTAAAAGCATTCTTTTTTTACTTTGTGCCTCAGTGCGTAAGTAAAAGCATTCTTTTTCTACTCTGTGCCTCAGTGCGTAAGTAAAAGCATTCTTTTTTTACTTTGTGCCTCAGTGCGTAAGTAAAAGCATTCTTTTTCTACTCTGTGCCTCAGTGCGTAAGTAAAAGCATTCTTTTTCTACTTTGTGCTTCAGTGCGTAAGTAAAAGCATTCTTTTTCTACTTTATGCCTCAGTACGTAAGTAAAAGCATTCTTTTTCTACTTTATGCCTCAGTACGTAAGTAAAAGCATTCTTTTTCTACTTTATGCCTCAGTACGTAAGTAAAAGCATTCTTTTTCTACTTTATGCCTCAGTACGTAAGTAAAAGCATTCTTTTTCTACTTTATGCCTCAGTGCGTAAGTAAAAGCCTGCTTTTTCTACTTTGTGCCTCAGTACGTAAGTAAAAGCATTTTTTTCTACTTTGTGCCTCTGTGCGTAAGTAAAAGCATTTTTTTTTCGTTTTTGCTATTTCGTGTCTCTGTGTAAAAGTGAATGAATTTTGATCTTCTTTTTTTTCTTCTATTTAATGTCTATTTGTCTAGATCACTTTCTGTCTCTCTGTGTAGATGATTTGTGTCTCTCTTTTTAAATGTAAGTATTTTTCTTTTGTGTCTATTTCGTGTCTGTCTGTATAAATGACGGATTTTTTTCTTCTTTTTTCTACTTTGCATTTCCGTGCGCAGGTGAATATATTTTTTTCTAATTTTTGTCTTTCTGCGCAGATGAATGCAATTTTCTCTTTCTTTTGTCTGCTTTGTGTCTCTGAGTGCAGAAGAATGCATTTTAACTTGTATGACAGCGAATTTATTTTTCCTCTTGATTCTTTCTTTGTGTTTCTACAAGTGGAAGTATTTTTTCATCTTTTTCTACTTCGTATTTTTCTGAGTCAGTTATCTGCCATGCGTGATACACGCTTAGGCGATCATATATCTTTCGATGCATGACTGACGAGGCAGATTTTTCCCGCAGTAAGTTGCCATTTCTTTCTGAGGTAGACCAGTTGTCATCCAAGGCTATAGAACCCGGTCTATTCTGCTATTTACCCATAACTGGGCCAGTCTATAGTACTTTGATTTCTTCACTGGTAAGGCATGTCAGTGTGTTCGTACAGCGTTACAATTTTCGTACGCTTCCTTGGAGTAATGTCTATCGCAGAAAATTGTCGTAGGAAAACTAACCGACAGTCGAGGCAATAGTGTCTGGACGTGATAAGAATTTGATGCAATCACCGATGACGCACTATTTTTCAAGGCCATACAAATTTCATCATAGACCCCGAAAATAGATTCATATTTCTGCACACTACGGCAAATGACCTAATCTGAAGCAAAAATAGAAATCGGTTACACCCTGTCACTTCAGTGGGTCAAAAACCGACCTTATAGTGAAATAAAGGAAAGAAAACGAAAAGAGTTATTTTACAGAAAGGCAGGAAACTAGAAACTGAGAGAGAGAGAGTGAGAGAGAGGGAAGAAAGAGAGAAAGAGAGAGAGAAGAAAGCGAAAAAGAGAGAGAGAAGAAAGGGAGAAAGAGAGACAGACAGAAGAAAAGGAGGAGGAGAGAGAGAGAAGAAAGGGAGAAAGAGAGATAGAGAAGAAAGGGAGAAAGAGAGAGAAGTAAGGGAGAAAGAGAGGGAGAGAGAGAGAAGAAAGGGAGAAAGAGAGAGAGAAGAATGGGTGAAAGAGAGTGAGAGAAGAAAGGGAGAAAGAGAGAGAGAGAAGAAGAAAGAGAGAGAGGGAGAGAAGAAAGGGAGAAAGAGAGAGAGAGAAGAAAGGCAGAAAGAGAGAGAGAGAGAAGAAGAAGAAATGGAGAAAGAGAGAGAGAAGAAAGCGAGAAAAGGAGAAAGAGAGCGAGAGAAGAAAGGGAGAAAGAGAGAGAGAAAAGAAAGAGAAAAAGAGAGATAGAAAAGAAAGAGAGAAAGAGAGAGAGAGAAAAAAGGGAAAAAGAGAGTCAGACAGAAGAAAAGGAAAAACATAGAGCGAGAAGAAGAAAGGGAGAGAGGGAGAGAAGAAAGGGAGAAAGAGAGAGAGAAGAAAAGGAGAAAGAGAGAGAGAGAAGAAAGGGAGAAAGAGAGAGAGAGAAGAAGAAAAGGAGAGAGAGAGAGAAGAAAGGGCGAAAGAGAGAGAGAGAAGAATGGGTGAAAGAGAGAGAGAAGATAGGGAGAGAGAGAAGGAAGGGAGAGAGAGAAGAAGAAAGGGAGAGAGAGAAGAAAGGGAGAAAGAGAGAGAAGAAGAAAGGGAGAGAGAGAAGAAGAAAGGGAGAGAGAGAAGAAAGGGAGAAAAGGAGAAAGAGAGTGAGAGAGAGAGAGAAGAAAAAGAGAAAGAGAGATACATTGGTAGTGAAAGAGATGCGACAATATATTGTAAAAATAATGATAGAAGAAAGCGAGGGACAGCGCAAGGAAGGAAAAAGAGAGAGAAAAATGATAAGTAGAAAATAAACTAAGAGCGGTAAAGTTTGAAAGAAAAAGAGAGAGGAGAAGTATGAAAGCGAGGCAGAGAGAAACTGATGGCGAGAGGAGAGAGAGAGAGAGTGAAAGAGAGAGAGGGAGAGAGAGAGAGAGTGAGAGAGTGAGAGAGGATAAGCAAAAAGAACCGCGATACTTGTCATGAATAATTTTAAAGGATTAATTAAATCGCCAGCCATTTTCTCATTTGTTTCATCGAAACTTTCACTAGATTATGAAAAGAACACACATTTCTAATTAAAGACTCAATAAACAATTCCGGCGCTCAAAAACATGGCGGGAACAATTTAATTTGTTCAAGTCGTAACGCTTGCTTTTCTTTTTTTCTTATTTATTTTCCTCTTTACATGTTTAATCTTTCGCTCTTTCTTGTTAATTTTCACTTTTCCTTCGTCTGCATTTTTCTTTATCAATTTGTATTTCTTTTTTTTTTTGCAAGTAACATTTCATTCTTTTTTTCCATTTTCTTTCTTTTGTCCCTTTCATCCATTTACACTTTCTTTCTTTCTTTCTTTCTTTCTTTCTTTCTTTCTTTCTTTCTTTCTTTTTATCCATTTATTCTTTCTTTTTTTTCTTTCCTTTGTACCTTTCATCCATTTATTCTTTGTTTGTTTCTTACTTTTTTGAGCCTTTCATCCATTTACCCTTCTTTCTTTCTTTCTTTCTTTCTTTCTTTCTTGTGCCTTTTATTCATTTACTCTTTCTTTCTTTTGTCTCTTTCATTCATATATTTATTCTTTCTTTCTTTTGTCCGACTTTCTAAGCAACTGACCTAGCAATGAATTCAAAATAGTCTTTCCACTTCATGTCAGCTGAGAATATTAACCCGATAAGGTACAATGAGTCACTTGGAGGCTAGTATCAGTCATACTGATGGAAGGCACAGAGGGATCTCTCAGATGATTAATGGACAGAAGTTTATTTTTGGAGGCGTTAAATTGACATGCCATCTTTTGCCCCAGCTAACGACAGTCTTGAGTTCGTTTTGTAACATCAGCTGCTATTTTGATCTTGTCAGACTGATTAACCTTACTATTGAGGTAGGGGTAAATATTAGCGTCGTCAGAGTAGATGCCAAGTTGAGTACTCTTGCAGGTCATTAATGAAGATTAAAAACAGCGTAGGACCAAGGATGGTGACCTGGGCGACGCTCGCCTTAGTACGAAAGGTTGTAGACGAGTGGCCGTTTAGGGCAACTTTTATTTCCCGATTTGATAGGAACGACTGGATGAGCTCAAAAATATGCCCGGGGACAGAGTTGGCCAGCAGAAACGAAAGCCGTATTGCTTGTCTGAGAAAAGGCCCTGCGATGAGAGATGATGAACCAGGAGCTTCCCAAAAAGAGATGGAAGGCTAATATGCCGATAATTGAATGGGTCGGACGGATCATCACAGTTCTTAAAAACTGGAACAAAAGACTTTCAGCAAGTATGAAAGCAGTAGGCAGTGGGTCATTTATTATAGAATTTAGAGAGAACAGGAGCCAGTTCGAGAGCGCACTTCTTGATGATTATTACAGGGATACCATCGGGTCCACATGGTTTGTGGGGATCAAGGTTAGAGATGATAGTAGAAATCACCGAAGGGGTTATATGCAAATTAGAAGTGAGAAGTTAGGCAGGGATATTGCAGATGAGTCAAGAGTAGAGTTTGAGGAGAATTTACGGGCAAAGCATTCAGCTTTACGAGCAGAGGATGATAACACCTTAAACTGATTGAAGAGAGAAAAAAGACCGCCATAATCGTCACTATCCATCGTCAAACCAGCTAGTGCGTAGCTGAGAGTATAGCATAATGTGGCCTCAGGGTTGCCCACCGGAAATACAAGCAGGGACATGCGAGACATGACATTACATATACCCCAATGTTAATAAATTTCATTCTTTTCGTCTAGGGATTTTCTAAGCGTAGCGTAGATGAGGCACAAGGCGGAATGTATGGAGCACCCAGTGAGAATCGAACTCACGATTCGGTCGTAATTGTTTTAGCGAGACAAGCTTGCTAACCATTACACCGCCTCGAGGTGACTCATTCTCTTCCTATATGTCTATCTCAGTCAAACGCGCGTAAGTCCATTGGCGAACGCGGGTCAATACAGAAGCAAAAGAGGCCTCGGATCGCATTCAGAGATGTTTGTCAACACCGGTTACATCTGGGTTTTCCCATTAGCAGCGCGACAGTTTGGCATATTTAGCTAGATACGGGCCTCTCTGCAATTGGTCAAGATCCAGGTCTTTATAAGATTTCTCATGACAATAAAAACCGGGGGAAAATAGTCGTGAAGACACGGTTTCATGTGAAGTTGGTCTGAGGTGGGCCATAAAGTGTATATGGTGGAAGACCATGCATGGGCAAAGGGCCTACACAATCGGTGTACAATAACATTCGGAAAAGGACGAATTACTAGACTTGTTAGTCCGCAGGCTTAGTGTTAGGGACTTACGTCCTTCCCCGGAATCACGCTCTTCGCCAAGTAGTGAAGGTGTGTCCGACAATGAGGATGAAATGCTCGTGAGCGTGGATATATGATCACACAGAGGAAGAATCAGATATGAACGAGGTGGAGGAACTCGAACCAGTCCCACTACAGAGAAACACTCGACGAAAGAGACCGGCTTTAAACTCTCGTATCTGTTAGAAGATAAGTGGCGAGTGTGACAAACGCGCGTCAATACAGACGAAAATATAGTCTTCGAGAGCATGCGGGCATGTTTTTAAAATCAGTTACATCCGGGTTTTTCCCGTTAGTCAGCGGGACAGTTATGCATGTCTAGCTAGATATGGGCTTCTCTGAAACTGGTCAAGATCCGGGTCTTTGTAAAATGCCCCATGCCAATAAAAGCTGGGTGAAAATAGTTTGGAAGAAACGGTGTCTTGTAAAGTCGGTCCCGTGGGCATTTTGTTCCTCAAGTTGCTGTGGTTTCTGAGGTAGTTTTATTTTGTGTTACCTCCCGTCTCTTTCCCCTCTCTCCATATTATCCCCGTAGATGTTGGGAGAGCAATCGGTTCGGTGTTTCTCCCCGATCTCAACAGTTACTTTGCTTATATTACAACAGTTAATAATAATCATTCCATTTATATCTATCTCAGTGTGTTAATAAGTTTCATACTTTTCCTATCTATCTATCTATCTATCTATCTATCTATCTATCTATCTATCTATCTATCTATCTATCTCAGACTGCTCATATCTATCTATCTATCTAGCTATCTATCTATCTATCTATCTATCTATGCCAGTCTGATCATATATTTCATTCGTTATATATCAATCTCAGTCTGTTCATATCTTACATTCTTTATCTATCTATCTATCTATCTATCTATCTATCTATCTATCTATCTATCTATCTATCTATCTATCCCAGTCTGTTCATATGTTTCATTCTTTATATATCTACCTATCTATCTCAGTCTCTTCATATCTATCTATCTATCTATCTATCTATCTATCTATCTATCTATCTATCTATCTATCTCAGACTGCTCATATCTATCTATCTATCTATCTATCTATCTATCTATCTATCTATCTATCTATCTATCTATCCCAGTCTGTTCATGTTTCATTCTTTATATATCTACCTATCGATCTCAGTATGTTCATATCTTTCATTCTTTATCTATCTATCTATCTATCTATCTATGTACATATATTTCATTTTTTTCATTCTTTATCTATCTATCTAACTATCTATCTCAGTCTGTTCATGTATTTCATTCTTTATCTGTCTATCTTCATCTGTTCATGTTTCAATCTTTCTCTATGTCAGTCTGTTTCATTCTTTATCTTTCTCTGTTCATATTTTTCATTTTTGTTTCTCACTCTGTTCATATGTTTCATTCTTTATCTACTTTGGCCTGGATAAGACAATAAGCTACATCCAACAGCAAGGCCTCTGATCAGGAGGTTTTGAGGAGCGTGGAACCACCTCTTAATTGCTGCTGTTCCCAGGTCCACACCTGTTAGGGTCCCAGCTATGAGCAAATAGTTAACCACCAAACTAGGGTCAAAACGTGTAAAAATAGTTTTAATGCCAGCAATACATTTTGGGAAAAATATTACCAGAAATACGTTTTGAAAAAAAATTATTAGTAACAATAAAAATGTTGTCGGCATTAAATAACCCATTGAGGGATTGATATGCCGTAAAACAAAATAAACGAAACCAAACAAACCTTATCTATCTATCTATCTATCTATCTATCTATCTATCTATCTATCTATCTATCTATCTCTTCTTTATCTATCTATCTATCTATCTATCTATCTATCTATCTATCTATCTATCTATCTATTCAATCCTTTCGTTCTGTTTTTTATTTCTCCCTTCATATATTTATTTATTCATTTTTGCTTTCCTTTCTTTATTTCGCTTTTTCTCTCTAAATTCTGTATTCACAATTTACATTATTCGGACTATTGTCCTCATCTTTGTCGCCATATTTATTACAACGTTTCGGCCGTTGTGCGCTCCGGCCTTCATCAGGTGGTTGGAATGTCGAACTGAACCCTTTATTTTGCTTACTGGGTAGACTGTTCTAGTTCCACGTACCATGTTTAATGGATGTCAGTTATCAGTTATCTCCTGTTAATTCCCCTCTCCAAGTTCTCCACTGCCTCAACCGGGAGTGAGTTTTTTAATCATTTCACCCCAAGCAAGGCGAGGATGCCACTAGTCCGGAGAGGATTACAGAGAGTGAAAGTGAGAGAAATGAGTGGGCATAGTGGGAATTTAAGAAAGGATAAACACAACAGAAGATGGCGATTAACTTTTGATAAGATAGCGATGGTCACAAAGCCATGCATGGGCCCGCAATCAGGATCTCAGGTCTTTAGGTGGGTAGTACTACGTATTGACCCTGTTTGAATGCCATAAAATCCTAATATGCTAAAAACCAAAATAAACTGTATATTTCTAAGATGAGGTATTATGTACATTATTTGGACTATTGCCCTCTTCTTCAGATGGTTGTAATGTCGAACTGAACCCTTTATTTCGCTCACTGTTCTATTTCCACGTTTAATGGATGTCATTTGTCAGTTATCTCCTGTTAATTCCCCTCTCCAATTCTCCACTGGCTTAACCGGGTATTGAACTCACACTCTTTGGGACCTGCCACTGGATCTAACCAACGCCTTTACCCACTGTGCCATGTGTCCTTGAGTCGGTAGCGTACGACGACCGAAATGTAATAATTATGGCGACAAAGATGAGGACAATAGTCTGAATAATGTAAATAGTGTACATAATACCACGTCTCAGAAATATAGATAGATACTGAAATTCTATATTACATTCAAAATTTCTTTGAAAAAATAATTAAAAGCGAAACCCGAAATAAAATAAAACTTGGTGTGTAATCGAAGAAAGAATGTTGAAATCGTGATTGTTTTAGCATCAAAAATCCATACGAATTAATTGGAAACGCAATTCAAATTCTAAATAATTACAAACCGCTTCGAGAAGTTCCAATGTCAATGCTCTCCGCTTAACATATCCGAATGAAAATGAGAGAAAATTTTCAGTTACAGGCGCATATTCGATATGTTTCACAAATGTGAGAACTGCAGGCATTTATTATCATTGGTTTTAGAATTAATCAACAGCTTCGCTGAAAACAACTTTAAATATTACCAGTATCAATCGTTATAATCGTCATATTAGCCGTTTCCTTATCAGGAAACGTTCGGCATTAATTGACCGAGCATCTTGTAGTAATGTCGGTTGAAATTTATAAAGGGTGATCCAATAACTTGGACCGATTTTAAACGTGAATTAAGTTTAAGCGTCTAATGATTTTTCTTTTTGTTTCAGATTTGGCGGGTATTTGGGCGATGTTATTTTTCACACATAATTGCCATGACTTAAATAACATGATCCAATAGAGAAATAAATATATTTTCATCAATAACACTGATTTATTTAATGCTGACTTCGATCCGTCTTAATGAAACACCCTTTAAAATCATTCTCTTAAAACAATATTTCAGGAAATAATTTTCTCAGGTCCAGTAGCTGTTATCACTCTTTCTAGAATTATTGGGTGTTTCCTTCCTAACTTTTATTGGAAAGTGAAAATCTTGCTTATGCCTTTAGTTTTTCTTCGAGTAACACCCGATATCTATTTTAGCTGATAAATGAAGCTTCTAATTGATTGCTCAATTGGTTTTGACGCTCGCCTTTCGACCATGAGACCCGGGTTCAAATCATATTATAGTTGATTTGTCAGGAAAGTGACTTCTTGATGTTAGAGGTCCGGGGAGAAGGTCTCAGTGTGTGGTTCATTTGGAAAGTGCCTCATAATTATATTACACGCATTGAACCAAACCTTGTGATGGAAATTGGTTAGACGGAAGTGTCTGAAAGGTTGTGCGAACAAAAAGTCATTATGACTAAGGGCTTGAGCATACTGGCCTTGTTCAAATTGTTGATCCCGCCAGATGGTACATTCTCTCTCCCAGAGACTGTAATTAATCTCCGCTCAGCACAGCTGCAATATCAACCACAGATGGATTCTTTGGGTGTTCAACAAACTGGCGTCTCCAATGAGGATTGGCTACCTGTCCTGGCAGACAGGTGTGCTCCGAAACGAGTAGATGGCGATGAATATGTATTCTTAAGATTTATCTAATAACTCAGTCAGTTATATGCCATACGTGATACACGCTTAGGTAATCATGTATCTTTCGATACATGACTGACTTTTTTCCCGCTGTTGGTTGCCATTTCTTTCTGCGGTAGACTAGTTACCATCCAAGGCTATAGAACCCAGTCTGTCCTGCTATTTACCCATAGATGAAAGAAGAGGAGGATTCATACCTTTCCCAAGGTTATTCGCACGTAAGTGAATGTAATGGATTCGACTGGAATTCGAACTCGGCTCTCCGATTCCTCAATTCGAGACGCTATCCCTGACTCCACCGTAGCTACTGAACCAGTTTTCTGTGTGTCATTCGTTTTTTCAACCTTCTTCAGACGTTCAAACCATCAAACATGTAAGGGTTCTCTTTTCTACAGAATAAAAGTACAATTGAGAAATGTTCGTGACCAGTTCGTTTCATGCAGAGAAAAGCGAGACACACTTCGATTCAACAACGTTTTTTTTTTTCGCTTGAGAAACTCTCTTCTGGCTTCTTTCTTTCTGCAACTTTTAAAATTTAAATGCTGCATCAATTGTCATCTTCTTTCTTTTTTGAACCTGTTCTTTTATTGTCTTTTCTCGTCAGTAAAGTTTTTTTCGGCTTCTTTCACTCTACGTTAATCCTTGCGTCTTAGTTGCTTTATCGCCTTTGTTAGAATGAAATGTTTAAAAAAATATCTCGTGCTGCACAAGTTATTCTGTATTAACTCGCAAATATGATTTCTAATTTTCTATTTGTTCGCCAAACAAAAAATGTTTAATAATTCATAACAATACATATTTTCGCTAATGAATCACCTTTCTTCGCTCACTGGCAACCAGGATGGTATCAAAGTGTAGCATCTGTTCTCATCATCTCTAATGGTAATGGTAATATTGGATGTTTCTCTAGAAGGAAACATCTGAAATACATGAGCCCGAGCAGCCAATGCTACTCGTTACACTTTTCTTGAATCCCTGGCCATCAGGATGAGATCAAAGTGTATTATCTGTTCACCTCATCTCTAATGATAATGGTAATATTAGCCGTTTCCTTTTATGGAAATATGTAGCATCCATTTATCGATCAGTCAATGCTAGGCGAGATACACTTTTCTTCTCTCCCTGGTCATCTTGCTCGGAATAAAGCGTAGTAACTGTTCTCGTAATCTATAATGATAATGGTAATAGTAGTTGTATCCTTATATAATGAAATATTCGTCATTCATTGGCTTAGCAGTCAGTACTATTGTCGGTTGAAATTTATACAATCTTTCTGTTAAGGAATATACCAGGAAAATAGATTTTTTAAGTTAGCTAATTGTTATTAAGGGCAGGGCATCCTTATTAACCTTTTATTAGCCGTAGTGAGGAACAACAACATCTCGATTATGACATTCTTCTCTTTTCGAGTTACATGTGCTATCCATTTTAGTTGTTGCTGCTGTTGAAAGTCCTCAAGTGATGTGGTTTCTGTTATTTGGTACAGTTCCTTGTTTGTGATTCTGTGTCACCAGTGGTTCGAAGAAGGATGGTCCTCTTAAAGACCTACTGGCTTCATTTATTAATTGTATATACAATGAATATTGCATTCAAAATTCTCCTCATGAGTCATCCTGAATTTTAAGAGTGCTTCATATTAAAAGAAATTAGCCTCAGTTTTGATTCATATATGTAAAACCAACAATCAAATTCATCCCTATCAAATCCTCGCCTAGACTGCTCGTTGCTGATCCACCTATTATAGGTTGACGTTCGAAATAATACTCTTATGATTTCTCATCCTCTCTCGAAATTATATGCAGACCAACATCCTTATATTTACACGTTGTAGCCGCGCAAATTCCTCTCAGTACACTGATCGGGGTTGCTGCATTTTATAATTTGTTGTTTCGGCTCCGATGGGACCAGTAACTGCAGGGAAAGACAAGCAGATCTGACGGAGATGAAAGAACATTGGCCCAGTTTGGAGAATGCACTCAAAACAAACATAGCTTTCGTTTTGTTTGATAGCAATCTTAATTTTGATGCGTTTTTGTTTCTTTTCTGTTTATGACGTTTTTCCTTCTTTATTTGCTTGATTCATTTATTGTTTCACTGATTCCTTCGTTCATTTCTTTTTATTATTTCATGTCTTATGGTAACTATATGCACTTTCTTTTAATGATTTGTATAGTTTCTTTCTTTCTTTCTTTCTTTCTTTCTTTCTTTCTTTCTTTCTTTCTTTCGTTATGCTCACCTTCTTTCTTTCTTTACATAGCTATTCTCTCTTTCTTTCTTCACGCTGTCCGTCTTTGTTTGTTTGTTTGTTTGTTTCTTCTTTCTTTCTTTGTTTTTCTGTTTCTTTCTTTCTTTCTTTCTTTCTTAATTTCCGTAGCCCTTTTTTCTTTACTCTTCCCTTCTTTATTTACGTAGTCTTTCTTTCTTTCTTTCTTTCTTTACACTGCCCTTCTTTATTTACGTAGTCTTTCTTTCTTTCTTTCTTTACACTGCCCTTCATTATTTACGTAGTCTTTCTTTCTTTCTTTTCTCTGCCCTTCTTTTTTTCTTTCTTTCATTCTTTCTTTCTTTCTTTCTTTAAACGTTTATTTGCCTCTCATTTGATTCAGGCAGTTAAGTGCCATACGTTTGGGTGATCATATCTCTTTGGATCCAAGACTGACTTGGCAGAAGATTTTTCTCGTTGTTGGTCGCCATTTCCTTCTGCATCAGTTATAGGATATAGACCTAGGACTGTCCTGCTATTCAACCCATAGCTGGGCGAGAAGAGATAGATTCCTACTTTCCCCAAAGGTATATACGCGAATGTAAAGAGCTTGATTGGAATTCGAACTCGGCTCTCTGATTTCTCCTTCCGACTCAGTATCCCTTACATCACAATGCACATGCGATTAAATTATTTACTTTAATACTGAATTTTTTATTTCCTTTTTCTAACTTCTTTGACTAAAGGTTTACTTGCTTCTTATCTCCATTTATCTCCATTAGTTTTCGTCCTCTTTCTTTCTTTCTTTCTTTCTTTCTTTCTTTCTTCAAGAAACACCCTTTAAGTTGTTTCTTTTTTCTTTTTTTTATGTCATGCAACCCTTTTTCATTCTTTCTTTCTTTAAGTAGCTCTTTTCTTTCTTTGCCTTTCTTCACGTAGCCCTTTATTTTCTTTCTTTCTTTCTTTCTTTCTTTCTTTCTTTCTTTCTTTCTTCACGCAGCCTTTCTTTCTTTCTTTCTTTCTTTTTTCTTTCTTTCTTAATACGTTTATTTACCTCTCATTTGATCTTTCGTTACGAAGATTTTTTTTTCTAACTTTATTCTTTGACTAAAGTTTCACTCTTTTCTTCTCACGTTTGTTTGTTGATCTCCATTAGTTTTCTTTTATTCCATATTAAGCATTACTTTCCAACATTGTCTGGTTGAAGGGAATTTGTAGAAATCAGAAAAGGGCATTTGAAATCTTATAAGAAAAGATTATCGAAAAGTTAATAGGATTTTACGTAGGGCCTTTTATATCAATCATCTTCATAATGTCGGAGGAAAAAAATATGTAATTCTATATATAAAGATGAAGTTTTACTGCTTCACTAAACAGATTCGTTCAGTTTATTAAGTAAAAATAAAAGATAATATTCGTCTTAAAATATTGAACAGTAAATTTACTTTCATCATAGAGGCATAATTCTGTCCTTCCAGAATTGTTCATCTTTCTCAACAATGAACTAATACACACTGTTTTTTAAAAAGTCTTCCAAGTTTTCTTTTTTAATCTGGAAAATTCGCTAAAGAATATAGTGGCTGTTACAACGAATACTTCAGCTAAATATGGCTGACTGAAATCTTTTCAGTCGACCAATAACAATTTGTCCCTGGTCACCAAAGAAATATAAGATCAACCGTTATCCTTATGGAATATTACGTTGTTGTCTTATAACTCAATTCTGAGATTGCTGCATTTACCTCGTCTAATTGGGAGCAGTACATATTTGAATAAGTCAGTTGGATCTCCGGAAGGAGACCAGCGTCTATTCTAGTACGAATATTGGCACACGATCACCTACTTTGGATGAAGACTGGACTTGTGTAAGATTAATAGTGATTTACTTTACCTTGTTTGTTATATCTTCAGTTCTCATTTTGCAACATAACCCTTTTCATCGCCTATCAGAATTTCTTTAAATAATGGAGTATATATATATATATATATATATATATATATATATATATATATATAATCATTTAAGTAGCGTTAAGCATGGAAATTACAAACACAGTACTAACCTGTCTACATACAAGCAATAACAATATTAGACTTACAAGTTGTGTTATCCGAGGTTTTTTTTTATTTCTAAAACTGGGTATTTTTATTTTTATAATATATATATATAATAATAATAATAATAATAATAGATAATAATGGATTCTCCGTCGGTTTCGACGTATGAGGATCTGAAAGCAGTTGATTCTGTTATGAGATTTTGTGTGTAATCTTAAGTGGCATTTAAGACCCGCTAGTGATTTACAAAGGAGGCCACTATATGGAGGAACATTGAGGATTGTGATGAGCAAACTGTTAGGCCGACGACCTTTTAGATCTTTTTCAAATAAATGAAGATATATATATATATCTATGTGCGTGTGTATATATATATATATATATATATCTATATATATATATATATATATATATATATATATATATATATATATGGGTCATTCAAAGACAGACTGTTTTGCTGTATCACAGCTCATTGTTTAGTTAGACGTCTGGTTGCCTCTAGCTAGGATCGAATATGGTTATAAACTCGCGTCATTCGAGAATCTATTCCTAAAAGCCGTTGGTGCAACAGCAGGGATGAAGGTGAATTTAAATGTATTTATTTTAGATAAACAAGCCAGTGTTTATTAGAACACGATTCGTTTTATTCGAAGTGTATATATATATATATATATATATATATATATATATATATATATATATATATATATACCTTCTGGGACAACTGTTTATTATAAAAACGAACTATTCTCAAAACACATCGATAATAGAAGGAAAATCTCTTCGTAAATATTTCGCAACTGGATAGACCAATTATCCTATCATTTCTGCAATCCAAATGACCTGACTCTAATATTTATTTATTTATTTCCATTTCGAATTACTGCCCTTACACCATTCTAGTGTTTAACGGTTTTTAACCTACTGTTCCTTCTGTGACGTCGTCCCTTGGTCGCAGCGCCTACTGTAACGTTCTATTCTGGTCTACCACGGCACCAACTGTGACGTCCCTAAACAGCACCAATTGTGACGTCCTCGCTGCGGCGCCAGCTGTTCGCTCCTCGCTGCTTCGTTCGGGTGTCGCTGCTCCAAACTTGACGTCCGCCTGTCGCGTCAGTCGTGTTGTCTCGTCCTGTGACGACCAACTGGCTTGGTATCGGTCGCGGCACCCAAATGTGACGTTCTAACATTTTGGTGATTCGGGTGGGAATCTGGTTAGATTTGATATCAGCCTCGTCGTTCCTAACTCGCTTCCAACGCCTGGTTACCAAGGTAACTGCATTGATTCCCAGTCTGCCTACCCACGTTGTGAATTGATCTTAGGCAGACGAGATCAAATAGTGGTTGGGGCCGTAATGCAAATTGAGTTCAACGGGAGTGATAACACACAAATATGCATAAAAGAAAAGAAAATGAAAACTCAAAAAGTTCAAAGTATCAAAGAAAAAGGTAACAAACTTTATGTCTAGTTGTTCGATGCATAGGACTGCATCTATCTCCCGACCCGTTCTGTGGATTGTGACACGTCGTTTTCCGTTAGGCGAGTTTTAACGCTTCAAGTTGTCTGCTCTCTAAGAAATTGGTGTTTCGGTGTGTCTTTGGACGAAAGTCGAAAAAAACTTATTGTGGTGGTCTGGATCTAAGTCGCTCTTCAAAATAATTGTTCTTGGGTTGAAGATGAGTCCGGAATTTGCGTGAATCTTGGTCAGCTATCTTCGAGGCGGCTTCAACTGGAGACTGACTCTTCGCTGCAACTCCAACTCAAACTGAAATTGGAACTGGAATTGATTTCTGCTCGTGGTGGCTTCGTTTATATGGACGCCGCCCAAAACCGGAGTGGGTCTGTCGGCGTCGGGGGGTTCCTCGATAATTCTAAATACATATCCACCTCTTTTATTTCTGGTTACGAATTTTCCACTTTTTTCCATTTTTGGAACCTTTCCTCACTTCCACCTTCTCACCATAATTCAGAGGGCGTGAACTGCCTCCCCACTTCTTCGTAGCAGCTTCTCATACCTACATTCTGGATAGGCGGCGACAGCCTCCTTCGTGCGTCACCACTTGTGATCACCACTTGACCAATGATGTCTTTATCTTTCCTCCTCCGTGGACGAATCCGCCAATTTGTTTCGGAAAAAAATATCTTTGTTTAAAAAATATCTAAAAAAAAATTATCCCTTCTTTTCCTTTTTCCTCTTAATCGCCGTTATCATTTCTCTAGCCGCAAACGGGACAATATGAACAATGGCGGTCATAACTCTTTGTTCTACGTGGTTTTCGTCAGGTATTTTATCGCCAATTATCCGAATGGGTGGTCTTCTTAACACGGCCAACGTCGCCCCGAAAAGACATTTCTAAATTCCCATTCATTTCCTTTCGGCACATATTTCTGATAACATAATTTTATTATCTTAAGCCAAGGATGTTCCGTCGAAAGAATTCGGTCAATGGACAGTCGTGTGTGTGGCTTTGATACAATTAATTTTTCCTATCTATCCAAAGTCCTTTTAGTTGCCTGTTTTTCGTCACTTATCGAAATAACATTTTCATTTGAATTTTTCTTTGGCCAGTCGGTCTGTAATTGATAATAAGATGCCTTCCCGTACCAATAGTTTGTTTTCATATCCTTAGATAACACAGCCGTCGCCAAAACATATCTGATTCTTCCTTTCTTTCCCTTTCTTTTTACTCAGAATTTCCCTGTCATTGTAATGACACCCTTTCGCCATTTGTTACTTATCAAAATATCCCTTTATCCATTGTCTCTTAGCCGTGTGTGTGTTCTGCTTATCATCCACGATTCGGTCCTTAGCCTCTCCTTTTCTTTTTTTTCTTTTTCTGCCTCGTTAAATGGTGCCACATTCAACCTTTCGTTTTATTATTTATTAGTACTGTGTATTTTTCTTTTCTTTACCCTATATTCTTTTCTGTCTAGCCACGCTTTTTATTTGGTAACTACCAACTTTTTAGTTCGTATTGCAATAATCATATCCGTTGACTCAATTCATATTAAAGGATCAATGTCCCTACTAAACTTACTATTAATAAATTAATTTATTTTCTATATCCCCCGACCAACACTCTATAGTTTGAATTTATACCCCAGTTAGATTTATAATAATCTTGAAATTTGAATCCACGTACAACGTAGCGTTGCTCCCATGAATCCCAGAAATTGAAAAAAGAAAAAATCCTTTTGAAGAGTTCGTAATATATTCTACCTGATGATTGGCAAAGCTATGAAACTCTGGGTCGTAAACGTAGGTGTATATATATATATATATATATATATATATATATATATATAAGGTTTAATCTATCCTTCATACTTTACTCTCTCTCTAAATTCTGTTTTTCTATATATATATCTAAATTCTGTTTTTCTGATTTGTTTTTCAATTTGTAGGTCTGATGAATTGATCGTATTTACAATTCCAATGGAATAAATTATGACCATGGAATATTAGTGTTTAAGCCTTTTTATTATATCCTTACTCTGTCTTGGACATTGGGTTCTACTTGGATTCTTTCACTTGAATTTCTTTTTCTAAAATATACATGTATGGTATTTATATATTTTTGTATATGTATGTATATTTTCCACTAATATTATCTATCTATCTATCTATCTATCTATATATATATATATATATATATATATATATATATATATATATATTTATATATATGAAGAAATATAGTCTTAAGGTGTTTTCATATTTATGGGATAAAGTGCTCAATATCAGAGGTAGAGCGTATAAATATAAAAGTGAACGTGGAATTGTTTCATGCTATATGCAATCGTCAGGCCATGTGTGCTCTGACGATTGCATATAGCATCTCACAGACTGCATAGGTCTATGTTCACTTTTATATATATATATATATATATATATATATATATATACAATATATATATATATATAATATTATATATATTTTTATCCATAAACGTTTTTATTATATCCCATAGATATTGAGTTCTATATAAAATTTTTTCTGAAAATATACATGTATAATTTTTTAGATATATTTTTCATATGTATGTAT